TAAAAAAAAAAAAAAAAAAAAAAAAGAGTGGTACTGGGTGAAAACAGTAAAAATGACAGGTTTAGAGACTGCCCTCAAGTAGGTTATACCATCTCTTCACTCACAATTTCTTGGGTTCGAGATCTGATACATGCAGAGCCTTACCTAAGATTCCACAGAAGAGGGTTTAAGGGAAGTTTTGTTACCAGTGTCCCATCATTCACAAGCCCTAGCAGCTAAGCAGCCCATCTTGGGCATTTTCCCCAGTCTCCTCCCAGCCTATTCAGACACCCACGGTAGGGTTTTTGTTTGTTTGTTTTTGTTTTTTGAGACAGGGACACGGTCTCACTATGTAGTTGAGACTGACCTGGAACTCACTATGTAGCTCAGGCTGGTCTCGAACTCACAGCAATCCTCCTGCCTCAGCCTCCCGAGTGCTGGGATTACAGGCATGAGCCACCACGCCTGGCAGTAGTTTTTATTTCACTTCCACTACTTTAATAAGGTGAGCTCGGAAAGGAAGATAAAATTCAACATTTCTATCCCTGTCCTCTTGGCCTGTCATTATTCATGAAATGAAATGGCCCCTTCCCAACTCCCTCCCTCCCTCCCTCCATTAGCCAGAAAGTGTGAATCATTCTAACCAAGACCAGGTGCATGAAGGCCTGGGCAGGACTTCATTTGGTTAAGTCAGTCAGTCCAGCCAGCATCCTCTCCCTTAGTTTCTTGATTGCCAAAGCAATTGCCCCACTGGACTGACTGCTCTCTAGTCAGGAATCGTGGGGTCTCTCTGGAGGACTCCTGGTTGACACAATTCTCTTTTGCAGCAGTCACCAAGAGTGGCAAGAAAAGGAAGAAGGCCGTGAGTTGGAGGGGACCAGGATGCCTGACCGGGATGGCTATGCCAATGGTACTGGGAGCAGTAGCGGAGGACCTGGAGGTGGTGGCAGTGAGGAGGCCAGTGGCGCAGGGGCAGGCAGTGGCACGGCCAGCTCAGATGCCATCTGTAGAGACTTCCTAAGGAATGTGTGCAAGCGAGGCAAGCGCTGTCGATATCGCCACCCCGACATGAGTGAAGTGTCTAATTTAGGGGTGAGCAAAAATGAATTCATCTTCTGCCATGATTTTCAGAATAAGGAATGTAGCCGCCCAAACTGCCGTTTCATCCATGGCTCCAAAGAGGATGAAGATGGCTATAAGAAGACGGGAGAACTTCCCCCTCGGCTGAGGCAGAAAGTGGCAGCTGGCCTGGGCCTTTCACCAGCTGACCTACCAAATGGCAAGGAAGAGGTCCCTATCTGCCGGGACTTCCTCAAGGGTGACTGTCAGAGAGGCGCCAAGTGCAAGTTCCGTCACTTGCAGCGGGATTTTGAGTTTGATGCTCGGGGTGGAGGAGGCACTGGTGGCGGGGGCTCAACAGGCTCCATCCCTCCAGGACGTCGTCATGATCTCTATGATATCTATGACCTTCCTGACAGGGGCTTTGAAGACCATGAGCCAGGCCCCAAGCGTCGTAGAGGTGGATGCTGCCCTCCGGATGGCCCTCATTTTGAATCCTATGAGTATAGCTTGGCTCCGCCGCGAGGAGTAGAGTGCAGACTGCTAGAGGAGGAGAATGCAATGCTCAGGAAGCGCGTGGAGGAGCTAAAGAAGCAGGTCAGCAACTTGTTAGCCACCAACGAGGTACTTCTGGAACAGAATGCCCAGTTCCGCAATCAAGCCAAGGTCATAACCCTTAGCTCCACTGCACCAGCAACTGAGCAAACTCTGGCACCCACCGTGGGCACTGTCGCCACTTTTAACCATGGCATTGCCCAGACTCACACTACTCTCAGCAGCCAGGCTCTACAGCCCCGTCCTGTATCCCAGCAAGAACTGGTGGCCCCTGCAGGAGCTCCAGCTGCTCCCCCAACTAACGCTGCACCTCCTGCTGCTCCACCACCCCCACCCCCACACTTGAACCCAGAGATCACGCCATTGTCAGCTGCTCTGGCGCAAACAATTGCCCAGGGAATGGCACCTCCACCTGTCTCCATGGCTCCTGTGGCTGTATCTGTGGCTCCTGTGGCGCCTGTGGCTGTATCGATGGCCCAACCCTTGGCAGGAATCACAATGAGCCACACCACCACTCCTATGGTGACTTACCCCATTGCTTCCCAGAGCATGCGCATCACAGCCATGCCACACTGATGGGGCTAATGGACACTCCCCTGGTATAGCCTCTCAGGGCTGGGGTCGAGGGGCACCTACCCACTCTCGTAGCCCTCCTAGGCCCTGTCTGAAGGGCTCACTCAAGAACTAGGATGAGAAACTAAAAGGAGTATGCTTCCTGAGATGGGGTTGGGCTGGTATGTTCTCTCACCTCCCTTTTAAGAGGTGTTCATGTCTTTCCTTCAGGCCTAACTGGGGTCTTGTATAGGAGTGCAGACTGAAGCCATCAGAGAGGAGGGGCTGACTGAGGTGACTGTGTCTTATGGGAAGTTGGGGACATCCCTGGTCTTGTCCTCTGTTGTGAACAGCATAAGTTCTAGCCCTGGTTTTGGAAGAAAAAATTGCCCACCCAAAAGGAGAGCCAGATAAGATTTGAGAATTGGGTGGCTAGGAGAGAAGGCCTTAGAAGAGTCTTCAGACCATTTGAGGCCTAGTTGGGTTGGATAATATAGGAACTGCTCTGGGGCCCCTGGGAAGGCCGGGACCATCGTGCTCCAGCCCAAAGACTAGAGGAGCGTTCATTTGCCTAGCTTGGCCTGGAGATCTGTAGGGCAGGGCCCACTACTTTCCAAAGAAATAAAATAATTATTTTTTAACAAATGGAGGCAGTGAACACTTGCTTAGATATTCTGTATGGAAGGTGGAAGCATAAAGTAGATCTCATGCCACAGTGGAGTAAAACCTCATACACATAAGCTTGGGTAAGTTTGATGACAGGCAGCAAAGAAGGGTAGGACCCAGAAGACCAGTTGGGAAGCTGGGCTTGGGCACTCCTGAAATCCCAGCACTCAGGAGGTTGAGGCAGGAGACTGCTGTGAGTTTGAAGCCCACCCAGACTATACAGTGAGTTCAAGGCCAGTGAGACCCTATCTCAAAAAAAACCAAGACCAGACAGGGATTTGAGGAAGGTACTTTGTGGGGTAAAAGCATTGGAGCCACCTAGTCTAGTTTAAAAATAGTCCCATCTGTTTCTGGTCTGTCTGTATGTGCTATTCCCAGGTTGTCTGAGTAACCAGGGCTCCTAGGGTCATTTAGGGGGGCAGGTACTAAGGAGGGTGTATGTGCTGAAAAATGAAGATGGGATGTTGTGTGGTTGATAGATCCTACTGGTATGCAAACAGCAGGGCAGCTGGCAGTTGCTCCTCTGAGTTGTTGATGGCAGTTAATGCCTCTCCCATTCTAGCCCTTTCTCAGTAGCCATTGCTATAAACTTTGAAGCCCTGGAAGGTGCTGGGAAGAGGGAGATCTGGGGACACAAGCCTCAGGGTTTATCTCTCCTCCCTGTCTCCTGTCTTTGGACTAGGGGTTTTGAGTCCATCTGTGGGTCATTAAGGCCAGGGGCATTAGTAGGAAACTTGAGTTCCTCCTCAGCTCATGGTTGATGAAGGGGAAACAGCCCAGGTGTGTAGTCTACTGAGACCGTAATTTGGGGGGTAAAGAAAGTGATCTTGATTTATACTTCTGTGTTGTATCTCTCACTACCTCTTTCTTGTCTGATCTCTTGGGTTGTATAAACTTGGGCTGAAGATGGTGGCCTGTTGTTGTGGGGGCCAGGTGTGGTGCATGCACTTACAATTCCAGCTACTTCCTAGGCTTGAGTGGAGATTACCTGAGCTCAGGAGTTTGGGACCAGTCTGGGCAACACAGCAAGACGCCCAAACAAAAGGGCAGTGCTGGACCAGAGATTCAGGTCAATGGCACCATTCCTGTCTCACAAGCTCCTGAGTTTGATCCCTGGTACCAAAAAAAAGGGACAGTGCCTACAGACAAAAGATGGGCAAATACTGTTTGCGGGTTTAAAAATGACATTCAAAGCCAGGCGTGGTGGCGTATGCCTGTAATCCCAGCACTCGGGAGGCTGAGGCAGGAGGATCGCTGCGAGTTTGAGACCAGCTGGGCTACACAGTGAGTTCCAGAGCAGTCTGAACTACATAGTGAGACCCTGTCTCAAAAAAGCAAAAAACAAACAAACAAAACCAAAACATTCATAAGCTTAATGTTCATTTTCTAGCGTAATTCTGGATTAAAAGATATAATTTATGACCAGCATTTAGAAAGGAATGTGATTATAGGCACTAGTGTGAATTCTCAATTAAATCCTAACTTTATTTCCTTCTTGCCAAATATCTTCAAAGAGGTGAATTTGGAAACTGTAGACATTGTATGTCTTGTATTAATTCATTCCACTTAAAGATCACCAGGAGCCAGGGATTTGGCTCAGTAGTTCCGCCACCTGCCTCACTAGTGCAAGGACCAGAGTTCAATCCCCAGTACCAATAAATAAATAAATAAATAAAGGTCACCAGGAATATACAGTACCTGTAGTTGACCAAGTTGGGTTTAATGCTCATTTCAGTGAAGGGAAGGGCACACCACTGGGAATCGTAGTGTGTCTCAGCGAGAAGGTGTGTGAGAGGATTTGGACTCAGGTTAAGTGATTTGGGGAAAGATTCAAGGAAGCATGTATTCCTCTGGATTGGTTGCTGTCAAGGGAAACAGGGATCATTCTATGATGGGAAATATTACTGTGCCTAAAAAGAGGGCAGACAAGTAAAGCTAGAACTGCAATTTATAGGAAGCAGCAGTCACTCATGGGGAAGACAAATGTTTGCTATTTTGTGATTTGCATATTGACCTTGTTTTGTGCTTAATATTGTGAAATGATCTTGGGTTTTTGTTTTTAAATCTTTTTTGTCTCACTTCATCCCAGTCATTGAATGACCTTGTTATATACTGGTGGCTTTTTTGCCAGGCATAGTAGCCCATGCCTGTACAAGAACTCAGGAGCCTGAGCCAGGGATTACCATGAGTTGAAGGCCAGCCTGGGCTACATAGTGAGACCCTGTCTCAAAAAGAAAAAAAAAAATTAAAAGGTACTGCTGTGGTGTTTTGTTGTTTTTGTTTTGGTATTGGGGATCGAACTCAGGACTTCACAGTTGTCAGGCAGGCACCATGCTGCTGAGTTACATCCCTCGCCCTGGTACTGGTGTTTTTTGAGACTGGCAATTTGTGAGCACCTGATCAGCCCTAACAACTTGAACCTGGCTAGCTGTGTCAGGCCAGTTCCCAGCTGTCGGGAGCTGCTTCCTCTCTCACCTCTTAAGTTATTGCAGATAAAGGAAAAAGATTATGGGTCAGTTAATAGGAAATTTTGGTGGAATCAAACTGAACATTTGTATCTAGTGAATATTTATTAGTGGTTCATGGAGAAATCTAGTGATTTGCCCAAGGGCAATATTTAATTGAAAAAGAAACCACTTTGGATAAAAATATTAAAATTCTAGCCGGGCGTGGTGGTTCACATCTGTAATCCCAGCAATCGGGAGGCTGAGGCAGGATGATCGCTGCGAGTTCGAGATCTACACTGAGTTCCAGAGCAATCTGAACTACATAGTGAGACTCTGTTTCAAAAAAACTAAAAAAACTAAAAAAAATTCCACTCATGGGCTGAGGAGGTAGCTTAGTGGTAGAGCACTTGGATTTGATCCATACCACTGTAAAATAAATAAATATCCACATATCAGAAGGAAATACAAAATACTATTCAAAGTATCTGTAATTTGGCTGGGGATTTAGCTCAGTGGCTCTGCTGCCTGCCTCAAAAGTGCAAGGTCCCAAGTTCAATCCCTAGTACAAAAAAGTGTCTGTAATTTGGACTAAAATAGGCCCCTCTCTGCTGGATATACTGCTTAGGGATAAAGCCTTGAGCTTGTCTGGGTAATACTGTGGATATCTACATTAGTAATAGTCCCATGAGAACAGCCTAGGATGTCCATTAACTACAAAAATTAAAATCTTGGACTGGGGAATAGCTCAGTGGCAGCAGACCTTCCTTACTAGAGCAAGGTCCTGAATTCAGTCCCTGCCACCAAAAAGAAGAAAAGCTAAAATCTTGGGCTGTGGATTCGTCACTCTCTGGTGGAACACCTGTCTGCCATTCATGAGGCCCTGGGGTTGATATTCTTTCTCTCCTCTCCCCCTCATGAAAAAACATAATCAATTTATGTTAGAGTGTGCTATGTCCTAGCAAGGTATGGTGATGCATTCCTGTAATCCCAGCACTCTGGGAGGCTGAGGCAGAAAGATTGCAAGTTTGAGCCCAGCCTAGGCAATATAGCAATTTAGTTGAGACCGTGTCTCAGAAAATAGTGAGGTGCTAGGGATTTAGCTCAGTGGTTCTGCTGCCTGCTTCTCAAGCACAGTTTGATCCCCGGTATGAAAAAGAAACAATGGCTGAGGCTGTAGCTCAGTGCAGAGATCCTAGGTTCAACCCCAAGTAACAGAAGAGAATGTGTGCTGGGTTCTATAAGGAGCCCCACAAGGATATCACAGCCTTAGAAGTGGACTGTGAGCTGAGAGTGATGGCACACACCTGTAATCCCAGTAGGCTGGGGCAGGATTGCTGCTACTTTGAGGTCAGCCTGGACTACATAGTGAGACACTTGTCTCAAAACAAAAATGGATTGTGGGCCAGAGATTTAGCTCAGTGGCACCACACAGGCCTTGTAAGCACAAGGTCCTGAGTTCAATCCCAGGTAGGGGGAAAAAAAAAAAGGATTGTGAATAAAGCAGTTCTACTTAGGTTCTGCTTAAGTGGAACCACTCCTAAGTATTATATGTTCTTCAAAATGTAATTTTTTGTTTATTTTTTTTTTAGACTGTCTCACTATGTAGTTGAGACTGACCTGGAACTCACTATGTAGCCCAGGCTGGTCTCCTCCTGCCTCAGCCTCCCAAATGCTGGGATTACAGGCATGTGCCACTACGCCCAGCTACTAAATGTAATTTTTAAAGAGGGCCATTGACAAACTAGAAGGGTATTTGAAAAAAACCTGGGGCTGGGGATTTAGCTCAGTGGTTCTTCTGCCTGCCTCGCAAGCGCAAGGTCCCTAGTTCAATCCCCAGAACCAAAAAAAGGAAAAAACCTAGCAAAAGAAGGCTGAAGGAAAATCCAGTAGATGTCTTCCAGTGCTGCTGAATGGGAAAAGGTCCTGTGTTTCTGCACTGGAAATAACCAGAATTTTAGAACGATAGCTAACACTATTCAGGGCTTAATATAAGCCATGGAACTACGGGAGGCACTTATTCTTTTTAAATTTGCAGTAATAGGGATTTAACCCAGGGCTTTGTACACGTTAGCCAAGTGCTGTACCACTGAGCTACATCCCCAGCTCTTTTTAAATTTTTATTTATTTATTGGTACCCGGGATCAAACTTGGGTCCTTGTATTTGCAAGGCAGGTGGTGGCACCACTGAGCTAAATCCCCGCCCAAAATTTTATTTTGAAGCAAGTTCTCATTAAATTGCCCAAGATGGCCACAAACTTGCGGTCCTTTATTTGAGCTTTCTGAATAGCTGGGATTACAGGTGTGGCCACCATGCCTGGCCCAAGTTAGGCACATACAAAATCTTATTCACCCAATGGGTACTATTAATGGATTCATTTTGCAGTGGAGAGAGCAGGCTTAAAAAGTTATCAGAATCACTTCTCAACCTTTTGGCTAAAATCAAGTGTAGTAACTTGTTATCAGCATAATACTCTCCACATAACAAATGGACACTGGGAGATGGAACAGGAGTTTACTCCATCCACTCCATGCACAGAACTGGCATTGCTGTACTTCAAAAACAGTGCTCTGGGCCTGGGATTTAGTTCAGTGGCGCCATGCCAACCTGGCAAATGCAGAGTCCTGAATTTGATCCCTAGTATCAAAACAAAGAAAGAAACAAAAACAAAAAACAGTACTCCTCCTCAGAGGAAATAAATACTTGCAAAGGCCAGGAAAAAGGAAAAAAAAAAAGTAAACTGAGCCAGGTGTGATGGCACACATCTGTAATCTCATCCCACTTGAAGGGTTACAAATTCAAGTCCAGCCTGGGCAAAGTTAGCAGGACCCTCTTTCAAAATTAAGTAAATAAATAAGTAGGCTAAGAATGTCATGCAGAACAGAGGCCCTGGATTCAATCCCCAGTACGACCAAAAAAACCAACCAAACAAAGACATTTACCTGTGGTGGGGGCAGTGGCACATACCTGTAATCCCAGCTGCTCCAGAAGCTGACACAGGAGGATTGCAAGTTTGAGATAAGCAATTTAGCAAGACCCTGTCTCAGTATAAAAGAACTGGGGATGAAGCTCAGTGCAATCCCCAATATCTGCCCCCACCACATACACATTACCTGTTATCTGCCAAGAATTCTACAACTAGAAAGTATGGGGCCAAGAATCTCTTCAGTCTGACTACATACAGACTTGGCATGAGAAAGTTCTAAAGCTGAGCATTAGCACACCTATAATTCCAGCATTTTGGGAGACTGAGGCAGCAGGGTACAGAGTTCCAGGCCAGTCTGCGCTGCATAGTGTCTCAAGACAAAAAAAGTGTGATAGAGCCATCAAAAAATGGGAGCTTTGTTCTTTTTCTTTCTTTTTTTTCTTTTTATGGTACTGGGGATCAAATTCGGTTCCTTACGCTCGCAAGCAGACAGCAAATCCCCAGCCCTGGGAGCTTTTTTCATGTACTGAAGATTAAACCCTTCAGGACCTTCACACTGAGCTCCTTGCCCAGTCCTTTAATGTGGTTGGGTTTTTGTTGTTTGTTTTTTGTTTTTTGGTTATTTTTTTTTCTTTTGAAATAGGGTCTTCCTGGTAGTCCAAACTGGTCTTGAATTCATTATGTAGCCTGGGCTGGATTGGAATTCACAGCGATCCTCCTGCCTCAGCCTCCAAGGTGCTGGGATCACGGGCATGCATCACCACACCTGACTTTTTGTGTGTGTGTGTGTGTGTGTGTGTGCATGTGTGTTTAATATTTTAAAAGTGTTGAGCCGGGGATTTAGCTCAGTGGCTCCACCACCTCGCAAGCACCAGGACCACAGTTCAATCCCCGGTACTGGAAAAAAAAAAAAAAAAAGTTCTAAAAGTCACAATAAATCACTGAATTGTCCAGGCTGGGTTCAAATTGGTAATCCTGCCAGGATTTAGCTTAGTGGTGCTGTGCCTGCCTCACAAGTGCAAGGTCCTGAGTTGGATCCTTGGTACTGGAAAAAAAAACAAAAAACAATTTTTCAATTCTGCCTCAGCCTTTGAAACAGGTGAGATTACAGGCAAATGCCATCATGTCTTGCCTGATGCTGAACTGGAGGAGTTTCATGCTGCTGTGATGCAAGCCTTCCTTTTCTTTCTAACTCTTTGTTGTTGTTGTTATTGTTGTCTCTTTGTTTTGGTAAGGGATCCAGGACCTTGCCCTTTCGAAGCAGGTGCTTTTTTATTTGTCTGTTTTTTGTCTTTTGAGACAGGGTTTCACTATGTAATTTAGACTGGCCTTGAATAGCCCAGGCTGGCCTTGAACTTGGCAATTGTCCTGCCTCAGCTTCCTGAGTGCTGGGACTACAGGTGTGCACCACCATACCTTGTGGCAGCAACTTTTGGGGAATAAATACAGAAGAAAATTTCCTCAAATTCTATTGCCCCCCCTTTGAGACAAAGTCTTGCTCTGTAATTCAGGCTGGCCTTCTTGAACAGAACAGCAGCCTTCCTGCTTCAGCCTTCCAAGTGCTGGGTTTACAGGCTTGTGCCACATGCCCAACGTCCCCTCCATTTTTGTGATACCAAAATTCTGCATTTGACCCCCACCTCCCTTAGGAAGCAGTTATAGTTTACATAGAGGATTTCAAATCCAAGGCTGGGTGCGATGGTTCAAACCTGCAATCCACTAGGGAGGCTGAGGCCAGAGGATCACCAAGTTTGAGCCCAGTCTGGGTAATTTGAGATCCTATCTCAAAAAAAGATTGGTAATGTGATGATATGAAGGCCTTGGGTTCAATCCCCCATACCATTAAAAAAAAAAAAAATGTCCAAGCAGTAGAGATTCTCTCTATTCTCCCCTCACTTGGGTCCCACCCTGTGAAACACTTCCTCTCATTAACGGCCATCCCTTCCTGTTGCCCATTTACCGCTTGTCACCACCAGGTGGCACCTAGGGAGCAAAATTGTTAATGGATGAGGATCCACCCTGTTTATTTTTTCTGCTGACTGCATTGCAGCTGCTGATCCTGTGGCTCCTGTGTCTCATCCCACACAATATCTGAAAGAGAGTCTGATGATCTGGATGGGATGATGGAAGGGAGGCTCCATCTCCTCAGCACTAGGAGCCTCCTCCTTTACTCCAGCGCTTTGCAAATTTCAGGCTTTTTTATTTTTGTTTTTTGGTTTTTTTTTTTTTTTTTTTTTTTTTTTTTGTACCAGGGATCCAACTCAGGACCTTGCACCTGAAAGGCAGGCACAATGCCACTGAGCTAAATCCCTGGCCCTGAAAATTTCAGTTTTATACAGAGCTTTTAAAGGAAGGCCATTCATTTTCCAGCTTTACCAATCACCAAACAAATCACTTATATCTTCAAGCCCTTTGTTTCCCTTTTTGCTTTGTCCATCTCTCAGAATATGGAGATATGGAGAGTATAGGCAGCAGATAGAAAGTGTTCTTTTAGAGTTCTGCAAACTGAATGAACCAGTCTAAAATATTGGCAGCCCCAGGGAAATACAGAAGAGGAAGTGAGAAACTCAGGACAGGAGAAACAGATTTTCTTTTTGTTTTTTGTTTTGAGTCAGTGTCTCACTATGTAGCCCAGGCTGGCCTCAAACTCATATAGTGGTCTTCCTGTCTCATCCTCCCAAGTGGTGGGATTACAGGCATGTACCACCACACCCTGCTCAGAAACAGGTTTCAGATGGCTTTGATGAGACACAGCCTGATAAAATCTATGCCCTGCAGAGCCAGATAAGATTTTTCAGTTGCAGACCTAGTCCTTCCCTAACCTAACCAACTTTAGTTTCCCTGCTGCATTTGACAGAACAACACAGTAAGACATATACTTTGTTAAAAGGTAATCATTCCATGGCCAACCCTTCCCCTCTTCAGCTTCCAATGCATTTAGTTTCCGCATACTTGTAAACAAATACAGAAAACTAGTAACAATAGGCATCAGTATACCTGGCACTTTTTCCTTCCTAGAACTATACAGTACTGTGTAGAACTGCATTAGTTCTCTGTAGAACTTTTCTTCTAACAGACAAATGAGAAACTGAGCTGTTCACAGGCCTTGAGTCCTCATTTTAGTGTCTTAGAAATTCCTGGAAAATGTAATGATTTCTATCTGGGCATGGCGGTGCACACCTGTAATCCCAGCACTTGGGAGGCTGAGACAGGAGGATCACCACAAGTTCGAGACCAGCCTGGAACTATAAAATGAGACCCTGTTCAAAAAACCAACAACAACAACAACAAAAGAAAATGTAATCATTTCTCCTATATATCAACCCCCCCTGAGCTATTGTTTTGTTTTTTCAGTAGTGAGGACTGAATTCAGGGCCTTCACTACATCCTCAACTTTTTTTTTTTGGTGGTACAGGGGATAGAACTCAGGAGGTGCCACCGAGCTAAATCCTCGGCCCTCCCCTTTTTTTGAGACAGTGTCTGCAAACTTACAATGATTCTTCTACCTCAGTCTTCCGAGTGCTAGGATTACAGGGCTGTACCACTAGCCCGGTTCCAATTTAGTCTTGGGGATTTTTTGCTTTTTGTTTTGCAGCACCCGGGATCGAATTTAGGACCCTGAGCTTGCGGGTGGAAACAGCTAAATCCCCAGCCCTCCTCCAATTTAGTCTTAATCATCTTGTATCATAGAGATGACTACATCTCAGAGATTTAAAAAAATAAAGCCGCACTTCTTCCCCCCCCCCTTTTCCCTGACGGCTAGATTATCTCAACTGTGTAATTTCTGTGTCTGATTTTCTAGTTTTCTCGAATGTCGTTAACGCTGCACAAAGTAGGGGGCTGGGACGAATTAGACAGGGTTGGCTCACATTCCAAATAGGGCCATTTAATTTCCTTTTGTAAAGGGAGCCAGGGAAAAATAAACGTGCTTGGAGTATCTAAACTAGGGAAGGCTGACAAATGAACATTTGGAAATCACCTGGGGTCTGGGATTTAGCTCAGCGGTTCTGGCGCCTGCCTCGCAAGCTCAAGGGCCCGAGTTCGATCTCCGGTAAGAAATCGCGGAACAAATCCTGCAAAACCATCTGAACGGTGCAAGGAAAATCCTGGCCATCCACAACCTTAACTTCGTGAATCCAGCTCTCCTTAAAACCGAGGAATTTGGCGTTCCTGCTCTGCATGACGTCATACCACAGGCGTTCCAATCCCACGTGGGAGGAGCACTTGGTCCCGCCTCTCTTTAAATTGTAGGTCACGCCCACTTCTCTGTCCAATCAACTAGCGCCTTTCCGCCTTTTTCCGCCATCCCAGACCGCCCAATCAGGGAGGTCCTGCATATCAGAAGCCCTCGGATTCCCGCAGGAGAGGCGGAGTTTCAATCCTCTGACTCCGCCTTAGTTTCTGCGGGCGCGGACCAACCCAAACCGTCGGGGGGCGTGGCCTGGGCCCCCTCCCCCATCCCGGGACGCTGGGTTTGCGAAGGGGAAGCTGGCCGCAGGGGCGAGTCTCCTGCTGGTCTCGGGTCTGGCGGCGCTCTCAGAAGTGGCACCATGGAACGCTCCCTGGGAGAGGGCCCCAGCCCCAGCCCTGTGGACCAGCCCTCCGCTCCTTCCGATCCCCCCGACCTGCCCCCTGCTGCTCACACAAAGCTGGACCCTGATTTCGGGGTTCCACCTGCAGGCCCAGGTGCGGGGAGTGAGGTGTTGGCGGTGCTGACTTCGTTCGCGCGACGGCTGTTGGTGCTGGTGCCAGTGTACCTGGCCGGGGCAGCGGGCCTCAGCGTGGGTTTCGTGGTTTTCGGCCTCGCCCTCTACCTGGGCTGGCGCCGGGTCCGAGACGAGAAAGAACGGAGTCTTCTGGCGGCCAGGCAGCTACTGGACGACGAGGAGCGGCTCACGGCCAAAACGCTGTACCTGAGCCATCGGGAGCTACCTGCCTGGGTGAGCCATCCCGCCAGCCCTGCTGCAGTGCCGGGGCCCTCGGTCCCGGCTCCCTCCCGACCCGCTAGCTGCTTGCGGGCTGGAGCGCGCCTCGCGGGAGCAGACCGTGCACTCTCCCCGCCCACCCCTTCTGCACTCCCAGATGGGATCTTCGACGGATAGGACCTCCGTGCGCTCTTGGGCAGCGGCAGTGGAACATCTGGGCGCCGGTTCCGGCCGAGGCGCGCTCTCCTAACCAAGTGGTCTCCTGCGCTCCTCCCGGCTCCTGCCGCTGCGCTGTTCCAGTCCCTCCCCTGGCCGTTCCAGTCCCGGCCACTGCTCTGAGATTCCCTCGCTTCCCCGTCCTCCTCAAAACCTTTTACCTACTCCAGGCCATAAACTTTGCCTTTTTCCTCTGCTCTTGCCCCGGGTACCCGCGAGGACCCCACCCGGGAGCGTCGCTTCGCTGAGCCCTAGCACCTGGAGCGACCCGACGCGGTCTCCTTCCAGCCTCAAGCAGCCGGGCTGCAGCGTAGCGGAGGCGGCTGCTGGGCTGAGGGAGGGGGTGCCCGGAAGGGGGTAGTGCGGCTGCCGCAGTTCCCGCTGCCCCCGAGGCGCTGGTCCCTGCGGGCCCCACCCTTTTCCGGACTGTGGGCTGCGCTCGCTGCGTTGACCCTGATGTCCGCGCGCGGTTTCCAGGGCTGAGGCAGACGCCTTCTCATGGCCTTGCAAAGGCAGGGCCCGTTACCGGCCCCTCCCTGCCACCCTTCCTGCCTCTGGTAGTGCGGCTGCCGCAGTTCCCGCTGCCCCCGAGGCGCTGGTCCCTGCGGGCCCCACCCTTTTCCGGACTGTGGGCTGCGCTCGCTGCGTTGACCCTGATGTCCGCGCGCGGTTTCCAGGGCTGAGGCAGACGCCTTCTCATGGCCTTGCAAAGGCAGGGCCCGTTACCGGCCCCTCCCTGCCACCCTTCCTGCCTCTCCAAGCAGCGGTACTTGGGTGTGTGTGTGGGCGTGCAGAATGGCAGAAGAGAGGAATCAATACATTGACTCCAGAGAGGCACAGGCAGCTTCCTAGACCTGTACAGGGAAAGAGAGAGGAGAAATGTCCTAGGGACGGCAAATGTCTGTTCCTCCTAGTCCTCCTCTTAGCAATTAACCTTCCGCCTGTTACAAAGCATAGGTGTCCTTTCCTACAAGAAGAGTCACACACAGAGTCACACGGGGCAAGGGTATGAGTATGAAGACAGCCAGGGCCTAAACAGCTCCAGTCTTTCCCTCAAGGATTTGCTTTCTTCACCTTCCTGGACTTGGAGCCCCAGCCCAGCGAGGGGAGGAGGGCAAACTGGACAAAGGAGCCAGGATTCCCTCCAATCCCAGGAGTCCCTCAGTTCTGATTGGGCAGGGCCTCCCCCTCCAGAAGGAATGTGCCCTTCTCCTGCCTCCCCCTCCTCCCTGCCCCAGCAGCTGTCATTTCGCGTCCCTGAGCTATCCACAGAGCATCTTTGTGTGGCCCACACCCTGCTGGCTCCCCTTATTAGAGACCTCTGTGCCCCCCCCCACTTCTGAGAAATGAAACGTCAGGACACCCAGTGTCTTTGTGTGAGCAGTGCTGGTGCAGCCAGAAGGTGTACTTGTCACTGTCTCTGATTTACCCTCTGCAGGTCAGTTTCCCAGATGTGGAGAAGGCTGAATGGCTGAACAAGGTGAGAACTGATGAGGTTTTTATTCTTCATGAGGGGAAAATGAGAGTTCATTCTCCCAGCAGACCTGTCACACCTCAGTTCTAGGCAGAGCCTAGTCCCCAGTGCTGCCCAAGGGGAAGATTCTCAAGGAATTTGCCTTCAGAGGAAACACTGGGGTCTTCTCTGACCGTGTTCCTTCAATTCCAGATTGTAGCCCAGGTTTGGCCCTTCCTGGGCCAGTACATGGAAAAGCTTCTGGCTGAAACTGTGGCACCAGCTGTTCGGGGATCTAACCCCCATCTGCAAACATTTACCTTCACACGAGTGGAACTGGGGGAAAAGGTACTGTGGGAAGAACTGGGACCAGGAGGGGAAGCAGCTCAGAGGGGCTGAGGTGCTCCTCCCCTCCCTCCTGGCGCTCTCAAGATCCCTTCTCTCTGCAGCCACTGCGCATCATAGGAGTCAAGGTTCACCCTAGTCAGAGAAAAGATCAGATCCTGCTGGACTTGAATGTCAGGTAACACCACTCACCACTCTTCCTGCTTCCCTTTTGGGGGTCCTGGTCACTCCCCAAGCCCTACATCAACCTAGTACTAACTTTTATTTCCCTTCCCACCAACGCCCAGCTATGTAGGTGATGTGCAGATTGATGTGGAAATAAAGAAATATTTCTGCAAAGCAGGAGTCAAGGGCATGCAGGTGGGACAGATGTCAGAAGCCCTCATAATAGGGAGCTTTCGCCCTACGTTTCATGGGATATGGGGAAGTGGGAGGTTGAAAAAGTCAAGGTTGGGGAAAAGTTTTGGCTTTCTCTTCTTGCCCTAGCTACATGGCATCTTGCGGGTGATTCTTGAGCCGCTCATGGGAGACCTTCCTATTGTGGGGGCCGTGTCGATGTTCTTTATCCGACGCCCGGTAAGGAAAAACATTGAGGGGGTTGTGGAAGCAGAGAAATCAGGATTGGGATGGTGATGGTAGATAGTTATGGAGAATGAGAATTGACAAAGGGCTGAAGGGCTCGGCGACCACATGTGTGTGACCATGTCCCATAAATGTCCTGACCCCCCCCCCGCCTCTCCTTTCAGACTCTAGATATCAACTGGACAGGCATGACCAACCTGCTGGATATCCCAGGACTTAGGTACCAAGACTTACTGAGCACCTGCTAAGTATTATAGCCCTGGGTTGAGGGTGTGAGTGGTCCAAAGCAGTACAAGATGCGGCCTGTGTTCTCTAAGACCTCCACTCTAGATGAGTTTCTTACTGTGATTTTTCTTCAGCAGGAGCATGCATTTTGGTAGGGAATAAAGAGGGCTGCAGACTGTTCAGGCAAGGGCAAAAAGAGAAGGAAAAGCAGCTGGGGATGGGAATGAAAAAGACAGAGTAGGTGGGGAGTTGGGGTACAAGAGCAGCATATGCTACAGGTCTTCTGTCATTGCAGTAGGGAACAGTTAGGTTTGGAGAACTGGAAGATGGAGCCGTTCTTTCTTTTCCACTCTCCCTTCCAGCTCTCTCTCTGACACCATGATCATGGATTCCATTGCTGCCTTCCTCGTGCTGCCCAACCGCCTGTTGGTTCCCCTTGTGCCTAACCTTCAGGATGTGGCCCAGCTGCGCTCCCCTTTGCCCAGGGTATGCCCCTCCCCCACCGGCTAGGGCCTCTCCATTCCGTACTGGGGTGGGGGGGTGTCTTAGTTTCTCACCACCTGATTCCTATCTTCAGGGCATTATTAGGATTCACCTGCTAGCTGCTCGAGGGCTGAGTTCCAAGGACAAATACGTGAAGGGCCTGATTGAGGGCAAGTCAGACCCATACGCACTTGTGCGTGTGGGCACCCAGACCTTCTGCAGCCGCGTGATCAACGAGGAGCTCAACCCTCAGTGGGGAGAGACTTACGAGGTATTAAGCTGAGGAGGAGTGGAGCCAGGTGAAATGAGGCCTCTTGAGGCTGTGATGTGCCTCACAGCTGCAGCCCATGAGACCTGATCCCTCTGCTGCAGGTGATGGTGCACGAGGTGCCGGGGCAGGAGATCGAGGTGGAGGTGTTTGACAAGGATCCAGATAAAGATGACTTTCTGGGCAGGTGAGACCCTGCTTGTGTTCGGATTCTAAACTTCAATGCTACCAAGGCCCCAGAGGTAACTGTAGTTGTTTCTGAGACTGGAACTAATGCATTGTTTTTCTTCTCCATCCCCTACCCTATCACATATGTGGGCATGCGCGCAGACACACACACACACACCCCTCGAGTCTAAGGGGATGGGAGTCTGAGCTCTCCAGGTACTTCTGGGTGGGCGAGTAGAGTAGAGGGCTACTGCCATGTTCTAACCAGTCCTTCCTTTCTCCTGTCCTCCTTGAACCCAGAATGAAGCTGGATGTAGGGAAAGTATTACAGGCTGGAGTACTGGATGACGTAAGTTGGGAAAAGAAGAAGGGAGTTATCGCCCTCTTTGGGCAGATGATAGCTGCTGTATCGATACTTGTAGGAAATGGCTGGGCGGGTATCTCATTCTGCTTCTCCCTTCAGTGGTACCCTCTACAAGGTGGACAAGGCCAAGTTCACTTAAGGCTAGAGTGGCTGTCACTTCTGCCAGATGCAGAGAAACTGGAGCAGGTACGTCATGTGGGAAGGAGGAAGCTTGAGGGGAGAAATATAGGAAGAAGTACAGGGATTGGGAGGACCGAGGTCTGACTTCTCCGCTTCCTGCCAGGTTCTACAGTGGAATCAGGGAGTCTCCTCTCAGCCAGAGCCTCCATCAGCTGCCATCCTAGTTGTCTACCTGGATAGAGCCCAGGATCTTCCTGTGAGTTTGGCTACTAGGGTGGGGGAACAGGGAGCCCAGCATGCAACACTGCTGCACCCGCCCTTGCTGAGGACACAGATGCCCTGCCTCTTTCTCCAGAAGTAGAAACACATAATGCAAGGGTTCCTAGGAGATCAGGTCCACCTCAGGGAGGAGACTCTGGTGTGAGCCTGCCTTCACCAAAACCCAAATACTTAAGACAATGACATCTAAATTCTGCTCCCACAGCTAAAGAAGGGGAACAAGGAACCCAACCCCATGGTACAACTGTCAATTCAGGATGTGACCCAGGAGAGCAAGGTGAGGCTGCATTGTGGGGGGCATCATGTAGGGGTAGGAGGAAGACTTCTTGGGATGAAGGCTCCCCTTCACAGTGTCTCAGTGCAAGGGCTGGCTAGAGAAACAGGAACAGTGCTGTGACACCCACACTTACACTATGCCCCCATCTCCAGGCGGTCTACAGCACCAACAGCCCAGTGTGGGAGGAAGCTTTCCGGTTCTTTCTGCAAGATCCTCGAAGCCAGGAGCTTGATGTACAGGTGAGGTAGTTACGTACTTGCCTTATTCTCTCTTCCCAGGTCTCTGTTATTGTGTATGTGTGTAACTGAAGACTGAACCCAGAGCCCCTTTATCACTGAGCTACATCCTAGCCCTTTTTCTTTTTTTGGTACCGGGAATTAAACTCGGGTCCTTGCACTTGTGAGGCAGGCGGCCCTCTTTATCTTGAAATGCTGTCTCACTCAGTTGCTCAAGCTGGACTCAAACTTAAGATTCTCCTGCCTCAGCCTTCCAAGTAGCTGGGACTACAGACTTGTGTTGCCATGCTGGCTGACTCTTATAGTCTTTTATTTTTTCTCTTTTGTGGTGCTGAGAATGGAACTCAGATCTTGTGTGCTAAGCAAGTGTCTACCACTCAGCCACACTCCCAACCCTTCTGATCTCTGTTTCCAATCCAACTACTAGACTCACTTCCCCAATACCTTTCCCATCCTCCACCTATCTCCTAGAATTGTTTTTGTTTGTATTTTGAGACAGGGTCTCACTATGCAGTTGAGACTGGAACTATGTAGCCCAGGCTGGTCTGGAACTCACAGCGATCTCGAGTGCTGGGATTACAGGGGTGCACCACCACGCCCCCGGCTTTTAAATTTGTTTTTGATGCCTTTGGGAGTCTAGGGTTGCATGAATACTAGGCAAGCATCTTATCACTGAGCTACATGTCTGTGTCTAGAATGAGCTTTTATAATTGGTTATTATGTACTTATTTTTATTATATATATATTGTTTGTTTTTAGTACCAGGGATCAACCTCAGGACCTTGCACTTGCAAGGCAGGCTCTGTGCCACTGAGCTAAATCCCTGGCCCTGTTTGTTTTTGAAACAGGGTAGTCCAGACTAGTCTTGAACTTGGCTGTGATCCTCTTGCCTCAGCCCCCAAATTCTGGGATTACAGGCGTGTGTCACAATGCCTGATGGTTCTTGTATACTTAAAATGATTTGGGGAGACTGGGAAACTAGCTCTGTGGCAGAATGCTTGCCTAGCATGTGCAAAGCTGGCTTCAATCCCAGTTGTAGGGTAGGAGTAGGGTTATGGTATGCAAGTCATACCCAGTAAATTCTTTTTATAGTTTAGTGTGGCTTCAAATTCACAGCAATCTTTGTGCCTCAGCCTCCCATGTACTGGGATTGCAGGCCTGAGTCACCACAACCAACTTCTTTTTGTTTTTGAGTCAGGGTCTCTCTATGTAGTTCAAGCTGGTCTTGAACTCAGTATGTAGCCCAGGCCTGGCTCGAGCTCAGTGACCCTTCTGCCTCAGCCCCCTGAGAGCTGGGATTACAGGCGTGCGCCACCACACTTGGCTGCCCCAATAAAATTAACACTCCAGGGCCAGGGATTTAGCTCAGTGGTACTGTGCCTGCCTTGCAAGTGCAAGTGACTGAGTTAGATCCCAGGTACCAGAAAAATAAAAGATGCTATTATAGAATTAATACTCCAAGCTGGGTGTGGTGGTGCATGCCTGTAATCCCAGCACTTGGGAGGCTGAGGCAGGAGGATTGCTGCAAGTTCGAGACCAGCCTGGGCTATATAGTGAGTTCCAGGTCAGTCTTAAAAAAAAAAAAAAAAAAAAAAAGAATACTCCAAACTTTAAGGGTCATACAAAAAGCATGAAACATAGTATCTGCCTTCGTAACACTTCCTGGCCCTATCCTAGAACATGAACATTAGCAATGGCACAATGTCCATGGTATAGCAGGGACGATTATAGAAAGGCAATGAGGCTCAAGCATTGAGAGATTCTGTAAAGGAAATAGGATTTTTTATTAAGCCCTAAAGCTCTGCCTAAACAGGCAGGGGGAAGGAGAATACTTCCCAAGTAGCAGGGAGAAAATAAGCAAAGGCAGAAGGGACCCAGAGTGAGGAGAGGGCTGTGAAAAGATACCCTGTGTGGAAGAAAGTTTGGGGGCAGCAGGGAGAGAACTGAAGCAGCAGCCCGGCTGTCATTTCCCCTGCATGCCGCCTCCATCACACGCCCTCCACACTGTCTGTAGGTGAAGGACGACTCCAGGGCCCTGACTTTAGGGGCACTGACTTTGCCTCTGGCTCGCCTGCTCACTACCTCGGAACTCACTCTGGACCAGTGGTTCCAGCTCAGTGGCTCTGGCCCAAACTCCAGGCTCTACATGAAGCTGGTCATGAGGGTATGGAAATGAGGAGGTACGGAGGGGTGGAGAAAGGGCCTGTGGTAAGCTGTATACACATAGCCACCTAGCAGATACACGTTTGTTCTGACTGGGGGGAAGGAATGCTGTGTGAGTTGGGTGGGTATGGAAGGAGCATTTAAGAGTTGAACCTAGGACCAGGGATTTAGCTTAGTGGTTCTGCCGCCTGCTTCACAAATGCAAAGTCCTGAGTTTGATCCCCAGTACCAGGGGAAAAACCAAAATTGAACAGGGACCTGGCGTCCCAATCAGAGCCCCTGCTCTGCCCACCAACCCCAACATTCCCTGCCAGCTGGCGGCTGACCTCATTGAGTGGACAATCACACTACCCTTCCCAGATCCTGTGCTTGGATTCATCACAAATCTGCTTCCCCACTGTGCCTGCTGCCCCTGGTGCTGAGGACCTGGACAGCGACAGTCCCACAGCAGGCAGCAGTGTGGACGCCCTTCCTCAGCCCTGTCACACCACTCCTGACAGACACTTTGGGACTGAGGTGAGTTGGTATCTTGAAAGCTTTAGGGTCTTTTTGCGCACTTTGTGTGCACGGCCTGATCAGGGTGGATTCTGAGAGGTCCGACTACCTCCGGCCCCGCCCCACACCTGCAGAATGTGCTTCGGATCCACATATTAGAGGCCCGGGACCTGATTGCCAAAGACCGTTTCTTGGGAGGACTGGTGAAGGGCAAGTCAGACCCCTATGTCAAACTGAAGCTGGCAGGACGAAGCTTCCGGAGCCGGGTTGTTCGGGAAGATCTCAACCCACGCTGGAATGAGGTTTTTGAGGTCAGAACTGAATGGCTGGCACTTCTCTGGGTCCATTCTTCTTCCCACCTCTAAGAGTGGGCCAGAAACCTGTGGGATTCAGTTGACCAGGGTTTAGAGGAATGAGAAGTGCAGTTACTTGGGGGAGGAAGAGAGAATTCCTTTTCACCTGCACTGTTCTCTTGTTAGGTGATCGTCACAGCAATTCCAGGCCAAGAGCTGGATGTTGAGGTCTTTGACAAGGACTTGGACAAGGATGACTTTCTGGGCAGGTGAGAGAGTCTAGGTGAGAGGACAGGCGGGGCGGGGCCTCTAGAGCTCACAGAGCCTGACCGGTGGCCTCTCATCTTCATCTTCCTCCAGATGTAAAGTGGGTCTCACCACAGTCCTAAATAGCGGCTTCCTGGATGAGGTGAGTGAGAGTAGAACGGACAGCTGCTTTCAGATCTCAGCCCAAACTCACCCTCGTCGCTCCCATCCCATGTGCTGTGTCACCCCGCCTGCTTCCACAGTGGCTGACCCTTGAAGACGTCCCATCCGGCCGCCTGCACTTGCGCCTGGAGCGTCTGAGCCCCCGGCCCACCGCTGCTGATTTAGAAGAGGTGCGTTGGGGGCTGGACAAAGAAAGGGAGCCGGGATGGGCAGGCAGGGTGAGACCTCCGCTTCCAAGGCCCCAGGGGCAGCTGCCGCCAGCCCAGCCCATCCTGTGCCCTCCCCAGGTGCTGCAGGTGAACAGTCTGATCCAGACGCAGAAGAGTGCAGAACTGGCCTCGGCCTTGCTGTCTGTCTATCTGGAGCGGGCAGAGGACCTGCCGGTGAGAGCTGCTTCCCACGTCCCTAGCTCCCTCTTTCTCCACCTCCCTCAGGTGTGGCTGCTCCTCATAGATCTGGAGCAGTAAGTGGCCCCTCTCTCCGGGGCTGGCAGTGGGACGTGAAGATCGTCCAAGGCCACGAGGGTGGCAGCTGTCAGGTGGAGACAGAGCTGTGAGGGCAGGGCCTGCCTAACTAGGTCTAAATGTAAGACTAACGGTATGCTCTTTCCAGCTCCGAAAAGGCACCAAGCCTCCCAGCCCTTACGCTACTCTCACCGTGGGGGAGATGTCTCATAAAACTAAGGTACCGCGTGATGTGCTAGTTACGAATGGGAGGGAAGCAGGGTGTGGTGGCTACAGAGTGAGCTCCAGACCAGCCTGAATACTATAGGGAGACCCTGGGAAGGGAGGGAAGAGAAGGAACTGAAGGAAGGAGAAGAAAAAAGCAAAGAATGGGAGAAGGAATGCCTGTGTGGTGGCACATGCTGGTTCTGTCACCCTAGCATTCCGGGAAGGAAACTGAGGTAAGAGGATTGCAAGTTCAAGCCCAGCCTGGGCAACAAAACAAATGACAAAAAACCAAAAACCAAAAAACAAAGAAGAATGTGAGGGAAAGGAGGAGTAGAGGAGATCATATGAACCACTAATCACGACCTCTCATCTCCTCAGATTGTTCCCCACTCTTCAGCCCCTGTCTGGGACGAGAGCGCTTCCTTTCTCATCAGGAAGCCACACACGGAGAGCCTGGAATTGCAGGTATGGTTCATTCACTGCACAAACACTTGCAGAGTCCTCTGAGGGCCAGGCACTGAACCAGGTGCAGGGTAATCAGAGATAAAGGATCAAGTTCTTGCCAGGAGTGATGTCAGGTGCCTGTAATCTCAGCACTGGGGAGGCTGAGTTCTTAAGGAGCTCATCACACTCTGCTTCTTGAGAAAAATAACCAGAAAATACTTGAATGATTTCAGAGGAAAAAGGTACTATTGGAGAAGAAGGAAGGGTCCAACAGGCTGGGGAAGAGGGGGAGGCATAAGAAAGGCATCCTTGGAGACAGATAGGCCCTGACCAGGAAGAGCCAGCCTGAAAAACAGAGTGGAAAATAGAAAAGACATATTTACTACTGATTAGAGACAGGGAGGAGCAAGACCAGAAAAGCTTTTAAATATTGTGCTAAAAATTTGGAGTTTATCCTAAAAGCTTAGGGAAACTTTTGAAGGCATGAAGGGTAACCACATAGAGATCTGCATTTTAGGGGAGATAGGTTATGCTGGCTGTGTGGTTAGGAATGGGTAGGGCTGGGGATTTAGCTCAGTGGCACTGTGCCTGCCTCGCAAGTGCAAGGTCCTGGGTTCATTCCCTGGTACCAGAAAAGAATGGGTTCAGAAGGGCAACACTGCCAGGCATGGTGGCACACACCTGTAATTCCAGCACTCTGGGAGGCTGAGGCAGGAGGATTGCGAAATTGAGCCTTGACCTCTCATCTCCTCAGATTGTTCCCCACTCTTCAGCCCCTGTCTGGGACGAGAGCGCTTCCTTTCTCATCAGGAAGCCACACACGGAGAGCCTGGAATTGCAGGTATGGTTCATTCACTGCACAAACACTTGCAGAGTCCTCTGAGGGCCAGGCACTGAACCAGGTGCAGGGTAATCAGAGATAAAGGATCAAGTTCTTGCCAGGAGTGATGTCAGGTGCCTGTAATCTCAGCACTGGGGAGGCTGAGTTCTTAAGGAGCTCATCACACTCTGCTTCTTGAGAAAAATAACCAGAAAATACTTGAATGATTTCAGAGGAAAAAGGTACTATTGGAGAAGAAGGAAGGGTCCAACAGGCTGGGGAAGAGGGGGAGGCATAAGAAAGGCATCCTTGGAGACAGATAGGCCCTGACCAGGAAGAGCCAGCCTGAAAAACAGAGTGGAAAATAGAAAAGACATATTTACTACTGATTAGAGACAGGGAGGAGCAAGACCAGAAAAGCTTTTAAATATTGTGCTAAAAATTTGGAGTTTATCCTAAAAGCTTAGGGAAACTTTTGAAGGCATGAAGGGTAACCACATAGAGATCTGCATTTTAGGGGAGATAGGTTATGCTGGCTGTGTGGTTAGGAATGGGTAGGGCTGGGGATTTAGCTCAGTGGCACTGTGCCTGCCTCGCAAGTGCAAGGTCCTGGGTTCATTCCCTGGTACCAGAAAAGAATGGGTTCAGAAGGGCAACACTGCCAGGCATGGTGGCACACACCTGTAATTCCAGCACTCTGGGAGGCTGAGGCAGGAGGATTGCAAAATTGAGCCTAGCCTGGGCAATGTAGTGACTTAATGAGACAAAGAAAGGAGGGAGAGAGGGTGGAGGAGAGAGGGAGAGAAGGAGAAAAGGAGGGGGAAGGAGGGAGGGAGGGAGGGAGAGAGGGAAGGAGGGAGAGAGGGAAGGAGGAAAAGGAAGAGGGCTGGAGACTTAGTAGTGCAATGCCAGTGTTCAGGGGCCTTTGGGACTTTTCAAGGACAACCCTAGGTATCTAGCTCTTGGGTGTGGGGCATGGGGTGACTGGAGGGAGAAGGGTCCCACTGCTGACACAGTAATACAGAGAGAGGAATTTGGATTTTTTTTTGGTACCCGGGATCAAACTCCAGTCCTTGTGCTGGTGAGGCAGGTGGCGGAACCACTGAGCTACATCCCTGGCCCAGAGAGAGGAATGTGAACCTGAGCTCTCTGGGGGACATTAAGGGGAAACATTCAGAAGGTGAATCTCGCCCATGTGGTGTACCTCCCATGCTTGTGAGCATCCTAACAAGCAGCATGTAGCACTTAAGAGTCAGTCATGGGAGTGTGCAGAATGAAAAGACAGGATAGACATGTTGGGCACCCTGACAGCTACAGACCAGAGGCCAAGAAGAGCACCCAGAGTAGTGTGAGAATGGGTGACAGAAACCAAAAGACCAGAGTTTCAAAGACAGAAGTGCTGGGCATGGTGCCACATGCCTGTAGTACTTCAGCTGAGGCAGAAAGATTCCAAGTTCAAGGCCAGCCTAGGCTACACAGTGAGACTTTGTCTCAGAAAATAAAAAACAAAAAATGGGAAAGTGACCAAATGTTTCAAAAGGTGAAATAAAATGAATGAAATTTATTTCAGTGGGTTGATGGGTAAACAAAAAGTGGAGAAGCTGGGCAAAAAGGAGGCTGAGGCAGGACCACACAATTTCTAGCCCAGCCTGTGTAATTTGGCAAGCATCCTGTCTCAAAATAAAAAATAAGGGCCAGAGGCATAGCTCAGTGAAAAGACCCTGGGTTCAATTCCCCCTTAGTGCAGGGGAGGAGAAAAGTAGAGGTTGCCAGGAGTGGTGGTGCCTGCCTTTAATCCTAGCACTTGGGAGACTGAGGGAAGAGGATCACTGTGAGTTTGAGGCCAGCATGGGTTACACAGTGAGTTTAAGGCCAGCCTGAACTACATAGCAAGACTCT